GGGGAGGGATAGATTAAGAGTTTGGGATTAACAGATACTCGGTTCTACATATAAAATAGATAAACAACAAGGTCCTACTGTATAGCACAGGGAACTATATTCACTTTCTTGTAATGAGCCGTAATGGAAAAGAAACTGAAAAAATACATATGTATGTATGTATATGTATAACTGAATCGCTTTGCTGTACACCTGAAACTAACATTGTAAATTGATTATGCTTCAATAAAAAATAAGAATTAGTAAGAAAAAAAAAGCCAGAAACAGAGAAAAAAAATATTGTGGCATATTAGAGCTACAATAAAAGGAAAAAGAAGGTCATTTCCCTCCATTCACCATCATGTATCTTTACCACCACCAGGACAGACTAGCATCTGGTGAAACAGCATGGAGTAGGAGCAGCACCTGGTAGAATATCATAGGATTGGATCTGTTTCTGAACAGGTGTGGGACTCCTCATGGGGGCTCTCAGAAATAATTAAACAGGGGATGTACTTTACAGGAGGCTGGAGTTTCTGCATAGTCAGTTGAGGGCTAGAGCCAGGGCAATTTGAGTTATATGCAAACTCTTAATTTTAACTTATAATTTTATTACCCCATCTTGAGCAGAAAGCTAAGAGAAGAGGAGTAATGGCATATATGTCCCATACCTGTGTAATCTTCTGCTCAAGGCCAATTTTGATTCAGTTGGATAAGAAAAAAAAAACCATCACATTGTTTTTAGTAGAACCATCAATAAAACAAAATCAAAATGTTTGAATTGTAGCTCTTATAGATTTATGCTATAAGGATAAGGTGAGGAAGACAAAACCATAGGCTGGGGAATAATTAGAATGCTCTATACTCTCCTAGTAAGATGATAAGGATTCACATAGGGAGTGGCTACCGATGATGAAATAGGAAAGGAGTGTATAATACCGGCAAGACTTGGTAGATGAGATAATAGTCAGTAAATAAATTAAGGTAAATTGCAAAAATAGCATCAACTTTTCTGTCCTGGTAGCTAGAAAAGCAATGAGTCAACTATGAAAAAGAGAATTTTACAAGAATAATTAATCATTTTAAGAGTTAGAAATGTATTTTTTGGATTTCTTAAGCCTGAGGTAATAATCAGCCTGTGATTTGAATTCGGAGAGTATAGCTTAATTCCTCCTTAATTATCTCACATTAAGAGGGTTATTTTTCTTTCTGAATTTCTATAAGTTATTACTTATACCACTCCATTAGCATTAATTATTAATTAACTTATATTCTCAATGATCAATTCAAGTAAATGTCTTATTTCCCACAACAGATTTTGCTCTCCTGAAGTGTAAAAACCAGTGTTTTACACTTGTATCCCCCATATCTCACTCTCTGGCACTATCAATAACTCCCTACTAAGTATACTATTTTACAGCATATGGTTGAGATATCCTTTGAAAAATATAAAGGATATATTAAAAATTATGATCAATATTCTAAGAGATGAAAGGTCAGGATGCCATCAAACAATATAAAGGAACTAGGAAGAGCTCTTGGACAATAAATACATAATAGTGTCAATAAACAATGCATTAAAAAGAACTGAAAAATAAATTTGAGGAAATCTCTTAGAAAGTAGGCCAAAAAGATATATAAAATTAGAGAAAAGATAAGAATTACAAAGGAAATGAAATAAGTAATTTTCCAGAACTGAAGGACACAAGTTTCTACATTGAATGTGGTCACCACGTACCCAGCACAATGAATAAAGCGAGACCCACTCAAGGGTCTATCAAATACTGAAATGTCAGAACACCAAGAAGAAAGAGAAGATCACATAAACTTCAGGGAGAAGAAATAAGTTATATACAAAGGTTCTGGAGTCTAATAGTATAAGACTACTCTAGAATCACCTGGAAGCTAGAAGACCATTGATCAATGACTTTAAAATGAAGAAAAAGCATCTCCAATATTTTACATCCAGCCAAACTATAAAATGTACAGGAAAAAAAAAGGTCTAACTATTTTCAGACAAGCATGACCTATAAAAATGTGCTTCCTATGCACTTTCTCAGGAAGCTAAGCATGTTTCACCAAATCAAGGAAAGAGGAAGACAGAAGATCCAAGAAAGAAAGGAATCCACATAGAAGAGAGGAAGAAGGAATTCCTAAGACAACAGTGAAGAGAAATTCCAGGGTGAAGCTGTCCAGCTGGCCTATAAAACTCAAGTCCAGATCAGAGCAAGAGAAGTTAGTGTTCCAGAAGAGATGTACCCAAGATTAAAATGGGTCTGAGAAGTAACTTTGTATGGTTGGTTGTCCTGGTAAGTCTGGTTGAATTAGTGGTAGGTGAAGAGTTAAGCAAATGAACAAAATGATGATACAATTGTTAATTCCAGGAAAAACAAAATTTTTACAAAAAAGTAATCACAACCACATTAAAATACCTGTTTTAGTGGTGAATAATATATATATTTATTATTCTCTAATGCTTAAATTTTGAGTACTTCAATAAAAAATTTTGACATAATTGGGAGGTTGGAGCAAGAGGAGGAAGAATGATATGTGAGAAAAGAACTAAATCCTCATCATGTAATTCATCAATAAAATTCATGTTTATTCATGTGATAAATTAATAAACAATATTTACAACTCCCAAATGAAGAAATCGGAATGTAATCATGTTACTCAGTAATACTGGATAAAGAGCTAAAGATACCTCGGAGCTGAGACTGCTTCAGTGTGGACGGATAGAGCAGGGAACTGCTTTGTTTACTGATTTTTATGACTATTACAGCTGTAACTTTGAAAAATAATGAAAAAATTTTGGATAGTAACCATCTTGTTTTAAAATGGTATGCTTTACCTCACATTTAACTAAGGATGCAAATAAGCAAAGAGAGAATGAGACATTTTTCAGTTTATTGACTACTGACACTTCTCCCTAGATGCCACTCCCCACCACCCTTAGAAAAATACTATGTACATTTTCACAAACTTAAATAAATATATATATTTGACTTACACAATTGCTGACATGAAAAGAAAAATTAGTTTATTTCTCTCTGTTATAAATAAGTTATTAAATTATGCATATGAGCATTTAAAACATATACCAATAAAAACTACCAGAGCACGAAGGTTTATCTAAGTAAAGAATTTTTGGAAAATGGTAAAAGGCCATTATTTGAGAAGCATCTTTCATGATTTTTGGTTCTACTATGGCTTCTGGACTGTAAATGATTCATTCATTCAATTTATTCATGTAATACACCTTTACAAATTTCCTTTTTATAATCAAGGAAAAATGCTAAACTCTGAATTCCCTGAAATCTATAATATTCTCATTTGTACTTAACAGTCTTAAATACTGTCAAATTATTAACCCAGCAACATATTAATCCAGCAACATATATTTTAATCCGTTAACATTTGCCATTCTTTTTCAGGAAAAATTCTAATTTGAACAATACTATTTATTGCTTACAGATTGACATGGAGCCCAAAACCACACAGAACTCCTAAATTCAGTATTTCTGAAGAAGCTTTCTCTTATCTTTTCTAACTTCCCTCTTTTCCAAGAGTTGGATAAATATAATA